GCATAGGGAGGGTGCCCAGATGCTCACTAGCACACATCCTCACTGGGGTGAGCCCACAGGCTGCCAGCCTTACTGCTCCTGGATCTTGTTGATTTACGGACACGTTTTTGGCTTTGCTATGGCTGAAGATTTTAAGCCTATAAATGCTGTACCCTTCAATGAGGACAGAGGACCGCTGTACTTGCCAAATACGCAGTGATCCATGGGGGTGAAAACAGTTTGGAAAATTATTCCTTTTGGGGGGAAGACAGTGAAGTCCCTTATCTGCTTTCTCCCTGCTTCTCAACTCCTGCTGCACATACCACCTCTTTCGTCCTAACTCCCTGAGTGTCCTATCTTCTGCAGCTTTGTTCTCCCAGTGGATTTCTACTGCATGAGAGTTGGCATCCTGCTCTTCCTGTCTTTGGCCTCCAGCTCCTAATACAGGACTGAATTTACATACTGGCCTGTTTGATCCATTTTATAAAGCAAACCACTTTCAGGATAGGGAAGTTCTGTTTTGGTTTGTTGTTTTCATTTCAGAGCATTGGATTGAGACTTTCTTGATGTGGATCTTAAGATCTCACCTAGCTTTTCACTAGATCCAGCGAAGCCCATCTCTGGGCGATAGACTATAATCTGGATATGTGATATGATGGAGGAGGACTTCACCTTTCAGATCCTCTATTTTTTTATCCATAAAATGAGGTGACAGTGTATACCTCTGGAGTTGCTGAGGGGAGTGCAGGGAATCGCTTAGGGGAAATGGCTAGCAATGGGCTAGCCACAGAGTAAGTAGGTGCTTAGAACATGTTCTTTTCCTTCCCCTCATATAGAAAAGTCCTCCCTGGATTTATCAGTTTTGTGGTTCAGTTCTCATTCCAGACCTGTCAGTACTTCCCTTCTCCATGCTTCTCTCACCTCTCCCCACCCCACCCACTGCATGAGGTAGTGGACAAAACCTTCTCTCTTCCCTCTTAGAAAGACCTTGCTGCAGGTAGGTTCCTATGCTGGATTGAATCTGACATATTTCATTCTACCAGCTCAGTTGTGTAGGAAGTGCTCAGTTATGCCATGGATTAAATAATGAGGCACTTTGTGTGTTAACTATGTTCATGTTAAAAAAAAAAAAAATTAGGGGCACCTGGGTGGCTCAGTCTGTTGAGTGTCCAACTCTTGAGTTCAGGCTTAGGCCATGATCCCAGGGTCTTGGGATCCGCCCCTGTATTGGGTCTTCATTGAACATGCAAACTGCTTGAGATTTTCTCTCTCTCTTCCTCTATCTCTTTGCGCCACTTTTGCTTTCCTCTCTAAAATTAAAAAAAATAAAATAAACATAAAAAATCAGGCACTTTGAATATCTCACAGTGAAAAGATATAACTGATTTTACATCATTAATAGACTGATGAATATTCAATAAGCCCCAAGGAATGATCAGAGAAATGGTTCATTCATAAGGTTGGTATTTACTAGAAATTAAATGATGTTAGGTAATTTTTGTTAATTCTCTTGGAGTAACAATGATATTGGAGTTACTTGGGGAAAATTCTTCAGTTTAAGGAGATGCTTAGTGAAATGCTTACGGATAAAGTTTCAGGATATCCGCAATTTACTCTCAAATACAGGTACATATACAAATCCAGGTAGATAGATCTGTTTGTAATATATGCAAATATTGCAAAATATAGGAACAATGTTAATCGTCATAGATCTAGTAGTAAGAATATTGGCACTCATTGTATTATTCTTTTAACTTTTCTTTGTGTTAGAAAAAATTTACAATAGGGGTGCCTGGGTGGCTCAGTCCATTAAGCATCCGTCTCTCGGTTTTGGCTAGTGTCATGATCTCCCAGTTTCGTGGGTTCAAGCCCCATGTCATGCTTTATGCTGACAGCACAGAGCCTGCTTGGGATTCTTTCTCTCCTTCTCTCTCTTCGCCCCTCCACACTGATGTTGTCTCTGTCTCTTTCAAAATAAATAAATCAACTTAAAAAAAAGAAAAAATATATACTAAAAAGTGGGGTTAAAAAGAAAACAAAGAAACTGGGAAATATAATCCATAAAGTTCCTTAAAAATATTGCCATTTGATTGTGTTTTTTATGTCAGTATACTTCTGTGTATTGTAAAAAAAAAAAAAAGGCTTCCTACTGACAGCAAATACTTCTTTTGAAGTCATGAAATACCAGTTCTTATAGAACATAATTTTTGTAAGTTGTCCTTATAACTGAGCATTTGAAAAAGTATTCATAACATATACCACTCCCAAACTATTTGGAGCCTACATAATTTGTGGAATTTTGAGTGTTTAAATGGAAACAAGTGACTGATAGTGTTGATTAATCCAGAAGAATGAAATTTTGAAACACCCCCAGAAAATGACTTTTTAAAACTTTTTCTTATGTTTATTTATTTGCATTCCCTTTTGTTTGTTTGTTTTTTGTTTTTTTTAAAGTAATTTCTGTGCCCAATGAACTCATAACCCTGAGATCAAGAATCACATGCTCTATGGACTGAGCCAGCCAGGGGCCCTTTAAAAAAAATTTAAGGAAAAACATTTATATACCTAAAATTTAGAGACAAAGGGCTATCTGAACATTTACTGTAGGGTAACGTATCATAATATATATTTGCCACATGAGCAGAAGCAGAGGGGGTCCTTGAGGAGAGCATGGAGACTTCTACCAGACAAAAGCAACTGACTCTTTAAGTTTTTTTGTTTGTAAAGTAGAATGCTAATACCTCTTGAAGAGTAAATGACGCATGCAGCACGTTCAGTAAAACACTGGATTTACCAATTCTGGAAGGAGACAAATTGGGTAAATCTGTCATTATAGATCTATCCCTCTTAAATTCTATCTGCAAATGGTGAATGATTCTTCCCTCTAGTCAGGCCTTCAGGAATCTTCTAAAATTTGTCATTTACCATTTAGCATTGATATATATGTGGGCTTTTAGATGTTTTTTCTCCCAAGATTCATGAACTACTCAATACTGATTGCCCTCAACTGTAGATAGACAAACACTAGACTAGGACATCATGGTGAAACAGGGCTTCATTCACCAAGCTCTTGCAGGCTGGCTGCTTTTCAGTGGATTCCACCCCCTGATCCATGATGGTGCTACATTTTGGGGAGAATTTTCCACACAAGAAAGTGATTTACTCCTAGTTTTTCATACAAAAACTCTTTTCTTTAATGTTTATTTATTTTTGAGAGAGAGAGAGAGAGAGAGAGAAAACAAGTGGGGGAAGGACAAAGAGAGAGGGAGACACAGAATCCAAAGCAGGCTCCAGGCTCTAAGCTGTCAGCACAGAGCCCAACACAGGGCTTGAAATCACAGACTGTGGGATAGTGACCTGAACTGATGTTTGGCGCTTAACTGACTGAGCCACCCAGGTGCCCTTTGTACAGAGAATACTTAATGCAAGATTTCTTCCATGTGTCTGATATTTCTTGGGCTTTTTAAAACATTAAAATATATGTTGATATGACTAAAGGAAATATTACCTTATTCTATTTAGCATGGTATAGTGACAAGCAATATATTATAAGTCAGAAAAGCTGCTTTGCAAACTTTTCCCATTTACTGGTTATGGGTCCTTGTGAAAAGCTCACTGAATTCTTCTTATTCTTAGTTTTTCGTATACCAAAAATCACATGAGCTTCTATTTTGTATGAAATAAGAGTGTGTATGAAAGTAGATAATAAAAAATATAGGGGCACCTGGGTGGCTCAGTCGGTTAAGCAGCCGACTTCGGCTCAGGTCATGATCTCGTGGTTCGTGAGTTCGAGCCCCGCGTCGGGCTCTGTGCTGACAGCTCAGAGCCTGGAGCCTGTTTCGGATTCTGTGTCTCCCTCTCTCTCTGACCCTCCCCCGTTCATGCTCTGTCTCTCTCTGTCTCAAAAATAAATAAACGTTAAAAAAATTAAAAAAAAATAAAAAATATATAAATTATTAATTATTATACATAATATAAATTATTAACATTAATATTACTGTTGCTGCCACTCTTCTTCAAATAATTTCATTGACTTACATATTCAGGTTATGATTCTGCTCTAGGGACTGTCATGGGGTTTTATATTTTGGTTTAACTGAAGGTGGTCAGGATTGAACCCAATGGTAAGCTTTTATTTTCTTATATTTAGTGAGGTTCTTTTCCCCCACTTTCTTGCATATCCCACAATGTACAAGAAGTGAAACAATTCTTTGTAACCCTTTTCAGGAACATATGTTTGTTTGTTTTTTTATTTCTCAAAAAAATTCAATAAATTTTATGGCTTATTTTATCTTATTATCAAAACAAATGAGGCTGTAAGCTACTTGAAAGTTTTATGTAACACATAAAAATACTTATTTTCATTCATTTGTTCTGGTGAGAAAAATGAAATTCATTTCATTCATTTCATTCATTTGTCCTGGTGAGAAAAATAATTCTGTGTCTGGACATAATGAAATTCCAAAGCCATAATAAATAGAAGTTGCAGGTATGGTCTTTACCCTTCAGGGTTTATTTTCCTGCACTTGTGAGTACTCAGATAGAAGAACTCTGGGTAATTCCCAAGAACCATCAGAAGTGATGGTAGATTTGGAAGCTATGGTCGTCCGTCGAGCCCATGCTGAACTGAGGCTTAAGTATGGTTTTAGACTCAACATGGTCCTTAGACATCACATCTCCATGAGGAACCACATGTCTCCCACAGTGGCAATTTGGGCTTTAAAATTAAGTGAGGCATTTTGTAGGAGACGAGATGCCGCCTTAGAATCACCATCAGATCTATGTCTGGTTAATTATAGACTGACTTTCTACATCCCAAATGAATGTCTGTAGCTTCTCTTGATTTTTGAAAGCCACCCATGTCAGTGTGGAATTATCAACATTTTCAGAAGGAAGATTAAAGGGGTCCTTGTTTGTACAGTATACATATTTAGCCCTTCAGGAGTAAAGTCACTATTACATTATCTTGTAACACCTCCTTATTTTAAACATTATCTTTCTTCCTTTTTATGTTTTTATAGCATGCCGGTGAAAAAACCAGTGGATCACCTTCAAAGTCAGGAGAAAAGAAAGGATCAGATGAGGTAATTTCTGCAGTACTGGGCTTTGCTTTTCTCTTGCTTTTAATTGTGAATTCTATCTTGACACAGATAATGAGGTTGCAAAGAGTTCCTACTGGAATTTTGGCAGATTTAATCTGAATTAAGATTTGATTCAAGAATGTAAGTGAAAATCATTACAAATTAATAAGAATTAAGAATTAATAAGAATTCTTTTCCTGGGAAAAAAATCTTTAGAAATTGTTTCTATTTAGAACTAGAACCCAGTTATTGAAGGTATTTTCCCTATAGGAATTGCTGAACCTTAAATGTTTTGTTGGTGAACATGGCAGATTTAGAGGAGGAAACCAAATGCTCTAGTGGAAAAGGAAATCTTTTTTTCATGAGAATACACTATGAAAGAAGAACAGTGATAGCCTAGATTAATCCGTTATTCAGGTTCATAAACAAAAGGAAAAGAGAAAGTCTATTTTATTTGGCTCAATTGTATGGAAACACTAGTAACACCAAATCTTTCCACTTTGAGATGGTTGTTTTTGAGCTTGTGAATTTCTCCTTCCACTGAATGACACACCATTATGTGGCCTTTCAACACTGGTCAACTTCTCCATGGAGAAGGGACCTGTGAATGTGCTGTCCTTCCAAAGGGCACTGGATGTGCCTCCCTTTTGCTACTTTTTACATTTTAGATCTCAATAGATATGCTCATCTTCATTTGATAGGAATTATCACTGTCATTTCCATTTGGTAAAACAGCCAAGTCCTAAATGGTACATGGAAAACCAGAAAGCATACAGTGATCATTATATTTTTTCTTTGTTATCAACATGGTTTCAAAAATTTTGCTCCTCTTCTTCCTGCAGTTTTGAAATATTTAATATGTTTCAATATATTCAATATAGGAAGAGATTGTTATGAATAGAAGCTGCTATGGATTCTGCACTAAGGTTCACTCTACTTTCTACTGTCATTTTCTTACTAATATCCTTGAAAATATAATTTAGATTATTAATGAGCAGATTTGTAATGAAGTTTGCCATGGAGGGCAACTGTTTCTTTAAAATTAAAAAATAAGAGTAAACATTTATTTAGATTTTATCCTGTTTCTTTGTTAAATTATTAAAAAAATAAATTCCCATATGAAAAACCACATTTTCTCCCTTTACTAGCATGAAAATTACTACAGCGTGTCATTAAGTTCCCTTATCTACCCTGCCTTTTAAGTATCTTCCCAGGTAAGATATCTATTAAATGATTTCCTATCTGAAAACAGTAGTGCATCTTTATTCTCCATACTAGGAAGTAATGATTTTGGATGTTATTCTCTATTAATATTAATTAAGAGTAACCTATTTACTTGAAAAGGGAAATCTTTTCTAATGTGGTCAAGTGAATAATAGACTAGGTCTTATAGGAGTATTCTCACTAAATATGTTATTACTTGAGAGCTTAAATATTACATCTTGAATGTACAGGCATTGTTGGTTTAGACAACATCTGATAGCACAGTATTAGGGTTGTTTTATATGTAACACCTTGACTATAAAGTACCTTATTCCCATATTTATAAGGGGCTTGAGAAAACTAATAAGGAGCCCTCTTAAAATGTAGCCAGGGGACAATTCGTGATTTCTGTGTTAGTAGAGGCAGACTATACTTTAAATTCGAAACCAAAAGGCTGAACTTCTATCTCAAGAAAAGGAAGAAGGGATTTTTCTTCTCTTTATCAGCAATTCAAGGAATTCTGACATTGTTCCAAAACACTTCTGAGAAATTCAGGTTTATAGCTCTTCTTGTGCTGAGCCTGGACATACTGATCTGTTGTGCTCTGTCCCCGCCAGCAAAACTGAAGAGAGGACGGAGGCTTTTCCTTGCTCCTTTGGCATAAATCACTGTAGTAATTCATATGGTCTGAGACTGAAGATTGTTTATTATCCCACCAAATTCAGTCCATATCTGTTTGATAAGGTAGACAGACCTGTGAGTTGGGATGACTTGGTAGTCAAGATATATTTCCAATAGGATATGTCTCCAGGGAATCTCTAATTCTTTATGTTACATACAGATAAGTCATTGGTGAGATATTGTGGGCCTGGAGACAATTCAAGGAAACTATCTAGTATTAGGCATTATTTTAGCCTTTGTATTCACAGTTATAACACCATGTGCGATTTGGATATGTTATCTATCCTGCCTACCATCCATGATTGGTTACCATTCTCTTTCCTTCTCAAAATTACCAGAGAAAGATTTCCTCAAACTAATCCTTTCTCCCAAATATTTTCTTACCACTGCTCTTTTGAACAAGAAGTGAAATCCAGAAGCTTAGTTTGGGTTTTGGTAATCCATTTTCAGACTAGTATATACTTCCAAAGGTTAAACAACATGTCCCTAAGCATATGCAAACATGTAGGCTAGGCTTCTACAGACAAACCCAGACCTTTGAAACAAAGTCAGTTTGAAAGTGTGCTTTCTATGCTTAGGGATACTTCTCTGCATTTGTTTTCTTTCTCCCTTTATTACTTTGCTGCATTTTATTTGGAGGTGCAAGAAAAAGGGTACATAGGAGGACTTTGGGAAGATATAACCAGGAGCAAAATGATTAGGGTTAGGTAAGAACCACTATTATATTGTCATATGTAAAAATACCTAGGGATGAATGCTCTGTGTGAATTTTAGAGCTCTTTCTCTCGTGCGATCATAAATGGTTTTTACTTGGTTGGAATTTGACCCCTACATAGCCACTAAGTTATCCTAAGAAGTTGGCAGCAATTTTAACAGAATCTTACAACCAAAATATCATTTGTCGTGTTGTGTTTCCAATACAGATGCTTGAGGCTGGACTAGAGTAAGTGTCTAGAACATATTCACTTACTTCTTTATACCAATCATTATGAATTGGCTAAGACCTCCTCAGATGTAAAGGAGTTACAAAACTAAAAGTTGCATGGATTAATTAACCAAAGGTAAAAGGACTAGAGCAGGAAAAGGAAAAATGGGAAAACTTAACATCAGCCCCTTTAAAAACACTGGAACAAAGAAGCCTTTCCAAACCTGCAGTCAAATCTATGTATAGTATTTGACTAACACATCTGGCCACACTGGGGGAGTATGATCATTTGCGCAACATATGTCAGTGAAGGCCTGAGGAATGGAATTTAAAGCATAAGATGGGCACAATCTTTTAGAGCCAATTATAAGAACCCAAATTTAATAATAGATATATTTTTGTGGGTACAAAGGGAGCTATAAACAGGATAGAAATTGTGCCTTAGAGGAAAAGATATGTGGGATTCTTTTCTCAGTATTTACCTTTCCTCCTTCTAAAATGCATAAAGTATTAAATGACTCCCAGCATTTTTTACACTTTTCCTCTTAATGAAATTAGTCTTTTTTTTAATCACAAAGAAATGTGTACTTGTGAAAAACACTGTTACGTAGTCTACCACTTATTTGTAACTATTGGTATAAAATTTTCTGTGTATTCTTAAATTAATGTGATAATGTTGCATGTTCATACTTAATATATGATTTGCTGATTTTAGCAACTTTTTAATACAGCTAAAACATAATCATTGAAGAAAATTGAGAAAATACTGAAGAGGATTTTTTTTAAGTTTATTTATTCCAAGAGAAAGAGCACATGAGCAGGGGAGGAACAGAGAGAGAGGGAGGGAGAGAGAGAACCCCAAACAGCCTCCCCACTTTGAGCATGGACCCCGATGTGGAGCTTAAACTCACAAATCATGAGGTTATGACCTGAGCCGAGATCTAGAGCAGACACTTAACTGACTAATCCACCCAGATGCTCCAAGAAAATAGTGAAGACTTTAAAGAAAAAATACCATCATCTACCATTCTAGCACCTACAGACGTGGCCACTACTTCCATCTTGGCGTATATCCCTACGTGATTTTTCCCTGTGTATATATTATGTTTAAGCAGAGATAACAACGAAAATCATTAGTAGGGCCTAGAAAAGGATAAATAATGTGCTTTGTGAGAGATCAATTTTTTCTAGTTAAAAAGAGTCGTCATTTTGTAGGTTTTAAGAAAATCATTATTCAGGTATCTTGGCATTTTATTAGGGCATTTAATCTAGTCTTTATGTAGTGCTATGTTTTTGAGGGAGAGACACCTTTAAAAACTCTTCAGGGACAGTGTTCTCACAAGCTAGTGATTTAGCTGTTGTTAGCAAATTCTGGAAGAGTAGTACAGCATATATTGTTTTAAGGGATTATCGGTCGTGACAAAAAAGTCCATGATAATTGCGGGGAGTTGACTGTGGCTGCACAAGCTCATGTCCCAGTGCCAAGAAAGAGGCAAAGTCAAAGTGCCCCGAGCTCAATCCTACCTGGCTCAGTGGGAGAGCCATACTCCAGCAGCCAGCCCAGAATCCAACTGCGTGGCTGATTTGGCAGGCTAAAAACTCTCTAAGGGAAGCTCCAGAAATTCTTTTGGACTGCAGTTTCCTCATTTTCGTTTTTAGTTCTAAATTTCAATTCATGTCTTCATTGACTGGAATATTTTTAAACATAATTTTTTCAGGGAGGGAGCACGAATGGTGATTTTCTGAACATGCTTTTGTGCTGGCTTCACACAAGAAATAAATACAAAATTGTACAACATCCTTGGTGAGCAATTCTGTTCCCTCAAAATTCTATACATGTTGCTCCAAAATTGTCTGGCTTTCTGTGCTGTAGAGATGTGTGGGGAAGCCTAATTTTAATTTATTTTTAGAAATTCTGTTTTTCCTGTCTTAGTGCATATACAATTTTGTTGTTGTCCTTACAATTTAAAAAAATTTGCCAGGAGGTATGTATTTATCTGTTTCTCTTTATTAATTTTTTTCCTGAGAATGTCTTATTTAATTATTGCTTTTATCTTGGTTTAGCCCTCATGGCAATAAAAATCATTATCTTATTGATTTCTAACTATGGGATGGGACAGGATGCAAAATCTTTTGTCTATTACATATTGCAGAGCCTTTCCCATTAAAAAGGAAGAAAGTTTGGTAGTTAATT